GTGGCCATGGCCGTGACCCTGTTGCCAGGGCTGGGGCTGTGACCCAGCTGCCCGGGCTGTGACCCTGCTGCCCAGGCCATGACCGTGACCTTAACCGTGACCCGGCTGCTGCCAGGGCCGTGACCCCGCTGCCGGGGCCATGACCGTGACCCCGCGGCTGCGGTTTCCCCTCCCAGCGCCCATGTCTGTGGTACCAGCTTGAAAAGGCAGAGGCACCGTCCAACCTTGCTCAACAGATTTATCAAATAAGTGCAATAACAGTAACTTACATTCTAAGGCCCGTGGCTTTTTCTCCTGAAATGACAGCGGTACGGTCTCAGGGATTTAAGACCTTATCGGCTTGTCCCGTGCTTTGGAACCGCGGCATCTATAGGAACGCTCTCCTGGGCTACTGGAGCTCCAAGCAGTCGCTCGAGATCAGACGAACTCCCGCACGCAGGGGCGCCAGCTGCTCTCAGGTCCTCTCTGCAGTTGAGGTGCATGAAAACAGCTTGGTTGATGCTCAGGTACAGCACGGAGAAAGAGATCAGATGGGAAAAAGCCCACGAGATAGGGATGACAGCCTGTCCGATCTTTAATAACGATGTACCGTCGTTCCTGATTTAAGCTTTCCAGTCTGACACTCTGGAGAGCTGCCTTCCATGAGCCAGACCGGCACCTGCACAACATTTTTGCTCCAGAACGTTTTGCTCAAGACTTCATGGCACGGGAACAAACGTCACTGTGTTTTTCACACCGGTGCTTGCTTTGCCACTGCAGAGAACACAGGTTGTTTGTTAAGTGAAAGGCCAGTGAAACCACCCTTTAAAAACACCGGTGGCACTGCTACGCTCAGAGAAGGTCCCCTCACATCCTAACAAAATTTCTGCCTTCTCACTTCTAAGTTGCTCCCGATCCATACCATTGAGTATTTAATACTACCCTTATACTTCACTTTAGAAGTGCATTTTTTTAGTCTAAAGAGAGGGATTGCTGGGTACACACTCTAAAACACTTAACAGATTTCTTTGAAACATTGCTAAAAAGCTAGGCTGGATTTGAAAATACGCAGAGAGCCCCGAGCTGCAAGGCGGTGTGCCCAGGCCCTGGCATTTCTGTTTTAAACGCTGCCTGACGAAGGGCTCTGCATCGCGCTTCTCTTGCCCGCACCCAACCCCTGCGCCCTGGCGTGGGCTGGGAAGGCAAGGCGGGCAGCGGAAGAGGCAGGAATCTCCTACGTGACACCTTCTTGCGGGGCAGAAGCTGCAGAGGTTTATCGCAGGGCCCCCAAGGCGTAACGTCAACCCTGGAGCAGAGAGCAAAGCAGCTGCTGCGCGCGCTGCCGAGCCCCGACAACCACGGGGGGAGAGGGGAAGCGTCCTCGTGCACAGGCGTCAGAAACCAGAGCTACCCGGGGGAAAAATGCCTCCCAAGGGACTGTCCACAACAGCGCCTGACGTAGCTCCCCGCTCTCTGCTACACAGCTCGGTCAGCACTGGGAAAGACAACCCTCGCCATAATTAACAGGGTTTGTGGGGGCTTGGGTTTGGGGTTTTTTGGTTTGTTCGTTGGTGGTTTTTTTAATCAAGTCTTAATTTTATTTTTTTTTTTTTTTTAAAAACATGCTTAGAAAGGTTGTCGCGTAATGTTATAAAATAGAAAGCGCACATCCTGCTAGGTGCAGCATTTATCAGGTTACCTGAATTACACTTTGAGTGGGTTGAAAAGCCATGGCTGAGGAGCGATGGGGAGCTGGATTTACCGATTCAGCGCACATAGTCTACTGGCCCATCCAGAACACATGGAGGACCTTTGCAAACAGGGTTTTTTCATTAACCTTGCACCACAGAAAGCTCACAGTTTTATGTCCAAAAGGAAAAAAAAAAATGCTCGTGAGCCTGCAGTCCGCTGCACTTGCTACTCTCCAAGCAAAATCAATGGTTATTTTGCTTGCAGAAGGAATCAGATTCTCCAATAGGAACCCGTGTCACTGAAGTAGAAATAAAAATACAGATATATTTCTCAACACATGTATTGCTAACATATGTATATTTATTAATATATATATTTGGAAGAGTTAAAGAAACAATTTATATAAAGACTTTCAGGACACAAGCGCACCCATCTGCCTGTAAAATTCACAAGCTCGCAGATGGGCTGCACGCCAACTATAAAAACTGCGTCTGACAAAATCAGCGCTGTGCATACGAAACAATTCACCCCGTGTAGCAAAAGAACCCAACCCCCCAAACTTCTACTTGCATTACGTGACTCAGCCTTGTACCTGCGGGTACATGGATGCAGGACCGACTAATTCTACCCTGGAAAGCAAGTGCCGAGGCGTTACAGACATCAGGATTGTCGCTTTAGGTACAAAGCTTCACGCATTGTGTCTGAAGGAATCTGTTCTCCTTAGAACTGTTAAACGGTCACATGCTGCCATGCATGGAAGTTTATTTCAATCCAGATCTAACTAGAGAAACTCAGTATTAGAGCTAGATTTAGAAGCGAGCTGAAAGTACACTGAAGCAGGAAAAAAGGTCTAAGTTTATCAACTTGAGCTTTTCAGGGCCCCACTAAGGTGCTTTTCTGTAAGGGGCCATTTTGGGGGGATATTTCAGAATTAACTGAGATATTTTAAAGCACAACTTTAATTTTCACACCAGCTCCACCGATACACACTCTTGTTATGAACTAAATGGGCTCTTGCGGTTCAGTGTAATCCCCTTGTCAAGCAGACTAATAAGGCACTTGGTGTGCAGCGAGAGAGGCGGCGCGGGGCAGCTCTTTCGCACTGCTTCCAACACAACGGCACCTCACATGCCAATATCCAACCAGCCCTTTGCTTTTGTATTTGGTGCTAATTCTGGGTGCTGAGTAGCACTTTGGGTACTGCTTTACTGCCCTTAAAATTCTAAACCTGAAATATACGTAGAGGCCAGGCTTGCACAGCAAAAGCCCTTCTCGCCATGCACGGCTCGTGTTGCTCCCAGAGCCTCGGCAGACCCAAGGAAGAGACATCCATCCCATTCGACACTATTAACACACTTGGACTCATAAACTACAGACGTAGTAAGGAGAGCAAAGTTATCTGTCAAAATAATGTTTCTAAGCGTTTTAAAAATGAGTGGAAACATTTCATAATGGCCCGTTCCTTGCAAGGTCAATTAGAGCTTTCAGCTGGCTTAGGAGGTGTTCAAGGGTAGCAGTCAGTTTTAGAAAAGTACTGTTCCCATTTCCAGTGAAGGAGCCAAGAGTTTTAGAGCCTACCACAAATAAACAGGCTTGTAAGCTTTCACAATGGCTATCCACTTGCCCCGTTTTAGCTGACAAAGTTCATCGTGACAAATACAGGGAAGAAAAAGGCAGCTGTGGTAACACACACCAATTCTTTCTTACACGAGATCCTGGCACAGTGGCTAAACCAGTCACCAAAGAACAGCGTGATCCTTTGACTTACTTCATCAGACTTCAGGAGCAGACAATTGAAAAAGCTTTCCAATTCCTGGCCCTACTTGCAAACATGCCCTAACTGAAGCAAATAAATCCACACATTTTCCCATGTGCAGTGGGAACACAAACCCCACAGCTTTCCTTGACTACATTGCAATTTCTCCTTTTTTTATCTTCTAGCACACACACGAGGAAGAACTTTGCTTTATGGAACTGTTATTTTACCCATTCATTGGTTCAAGAGTTTATCTCCACAGGATCGCACAGGTCTTTCAGATAACCAAGATACGCATTTCGTATAGTCTGATGCACTTCCTTCTCCGCGTGCGTGCATTTTTCTTTTCACCTTGTGCCAGCTGCACATCACAGAATGGCAGGGGCTGGAAGGGACCTTGGGGGACATCATCGCGATGAAGGATGGCACTGCTAAGGTACCGACATCACTGTCGCCTCAAAGGGACCCGTGCGGCTGCAAGCAGCCTATTTTGCTCGTTGCATATCCGTATTTTCAGTGGTGTTTCCTCAAGCCTCACTATGATGAATTCTCTGCCAGCGCACCGACGTAACGCACAGGGAGCCTACCTCCCAGCCAACCAGCACACACAGGCTCACTTGCGACCGATTTGTCTACCACAAGTGTCTGGGGGCAAGACAAACAAAATCATTGACACTATTACTTTCAGCACATTATAAAGTCAATTTTGGCAGAATATATTAGCAATATATTCTGCAATTATTACACTGAAGTGATCAGGTGGTAAAGTCAGCCAACAGAGGTGTACCGCTGCCCAAGCTTTCAGAATATACAATTGCCAACAAGTACCACACTCAGACCAAAAGAACAAATGCTTTTCAGCTCCATCCTGGAAGCCTAGTACAGCTTCTGCTGGGTAGGTTTCTTGCTCTTCCCCAGAAGAAAGACAAAACACAAACGACTGTGGCTTTTGGATGTAAAGGAAATTCCTCACTGGATCTCAAACCCAGACTGTCAGCACCGCAGCCCCAGAGTAATCCACTAACTAGGGCACAGCTGACTGACGGCAGCCACGCAGCGTGGCCATGCCAGCTCCATACTCACTGGGGAGGTTTATTTTCATATGAGGAACCAGTCAAAGACCAGTGCACGGCCTTCCTTGCGCCATACAGGGAACGTGGCAGGCTAGATCAGTCCCAGAACATATGCGTCTTTCTAACGTGAGCATTTCTAGGAGAAAACCAGAGTGCTGCACAGACAGCGAACACAAAGTTATGTACCGCAGTTACTGGACTAGGCAGGTACGACTCAAGGCTGATAAACAGCCCCATGTAGTCAAACAAAAAAAAATAAAAATCATATGAGTTGCCCATGATTTTTAAATAACTATTAACAACTATTTGCTCCGTTATTAAGACAAAGGAAAAAAATACTTGTCCTGTCATCGCTTTGAGTATGTTTTGCCAGCGCTTTTATTTGGGCCCCCTTTTGGGGTTGGGATCTTGCTTCCTATAGAGGGAATTCGAGCTTTTGCTCCTGAAGGACTTGGTTTCCTTGAATACTGGAAACCTATTTTGCCTGTGAAGAGAAAATACAGATCGTTACTGCAAGCACATCTAGTCCCGGTCTTGCATTTTATCTCCCATTTTGATTCTCAAGATATATTCAGCCTGAATGACCGACACGAGTAACTAAAAGTTGGCAGGCACCAGCCTGAGGCGCATCTCATACCAGGAGCAGTAGGACTACATGGCCAGGGTTCCTTTCCTATCTCTAGGAAATTGCTCTGGAGCTTTAGCTGTATCCAGGCAGGATTTAAGTTCCTTCTGTGTTTCCAGATTCTAAGCAGCAGCAAACTAACTAACATGCAAGCAGAAACAGCAAAGCTGCAGACAGACAGACATGATTGTAGGTCCAGTTCAAGACTGGAAGCCGTTTGAGTTTAACTGCCTTCACTTATGACAGCTGGAAGAGACAATTCCACAGTTCTTTCCAGGAACTTGGAGTAGTAGTTGTGAAACGCAGATATGGGCAAAGCAAACACCAGGGAGGTTAACTCCAGCCACAACCTGAACACGCAGTGAATAGAGAACTCTGAAAAGAGTCTGGAGAAGGAAAGGTTTTGGCTGTGACTGGCCAAAAGAGCTTCAGTGCTGCAGGCAGTGAAAATAGCTTGTTTGTTTAACTTCTGCGTTCAGGAAATAAAAGGATTTTGCATGTGCTTCATAAATAAAGACGACTGTTAAAAAAAAAAAACCAAACCACAACAAAACCACCTGACATCAGCATCAATTTCTCTTTGTCGGTGAAGAAGCTGCGCAATCATAAATTCTGCCTAGCTCCTGGGTCTGAATTGAAAAGGAAAAGCAGTACGCAGCACTAACTACTCAATTCATCTTGTAATTAGGATTAGATTAGCATCCCCTGATTGGACATTAAAAGCTAAATCAGGCTCTCGGTTCTCTGTGTCAGCGTTCAGGAGCTTTCCAGAACGTTAACTGTTTAGCATCACCGCTGATTGTTCTATTCACAATCATACTACCACGCAGAAAAAAACCCTGAACTGATCAAATTATCAAACATGCCCGTTTCCCCCATCAACTGAGCTCATGCCCTCATTTTGAAATGACTGTTATTGAATGATTTTGAGCATTTGCTCCCGAAGTCTACACCAGCATAAGAAATATCAGTTAGGTTACGGAAATGCAAACAGTGTGTTGAAACGAGTAATTAAAAGCCAGCTTGCTCTCGAGGGTGAAATATTTTTCTTAAGTAATGGCAACATAGTAAAAAGCATAATCATTATTATCATAAAATAATATCTTACCAGGCTGCAGCAGAAGAGTTTTATTTATTGAGCACAACCTCCGTTGATTCATTTTACAGCCATCTTTGCCCATTAGGTGAAATTTCCAGGCCTAAAGTCAATTAAAAAGAAGTGATATTACAATTCCAGCAAAATTAGCCAATCTTTTATCTAGTCACTATGTATGCACATCTACTTTTTAAAACACGGGGAAAATGAGGGTTGTACACAGCCTTCATGGCAACAGCATTTTAATCTGCTCTCTCATAAAAGCACGAGCACCTTATGACTTACTAAGTGAAATTAATATATGCATTTTTTTTTTATATAACTTAAAAGGTATATCACAATAAAAAAACCAGCCAGATCCTAGAAATTATGAGAGTGACATTCATTTTCCTTTTTAAATTTTCTTAATTCTCAACCGAGTTCAAATCAGGAAAAAACAATGTACAAATAACATGGAAAATCTTTTCATCTATACATATTTTGAACTGAAAAAATGTGAGCATAACTACAAGGTGACAATAATAGTTAAAGCATTCAGCAACCCGAAAGAGTAGGAGCTGCTGCTACAAGAAAACACGACAGCCTCTTCAAACTAGAGGCTTCGCGAAGCCTCTTACTTACAAGAATAATGTGGGCAGAAGTGAGGGGAAAAAAAAACCCAAAACACAACAAACACCACATATATTTCTCAAGAAACATTTGAGATTTGGTTATGGTATTTTCTGAGCTCCTCACACTGGGCAATGCAAAAAGCATTTGGAAAAAACTTAAGTTTTGAGAGCAGAAGCACTACTCAACGGTCCCATTGAAAGGGAAATGACAGAGATTACATATGAGCCATTGACATTTAACTGGATCTAATACTCAGTAGAGTTGTTGGCTGCCTCCTGGAGAGTCTTTTTCTGAAAATTAAATCATACACAGAACTACTTAAATATGATCATAATGTAGTGTTAGATGACTCGTGTAAAAGACTGAAACTGATATGTTAAGTATTCTCTGAACAAATTGCTTTTTATATATAATAGCAATACATATTTTCAATTGCCGAAAGCACATTTTGGAGCTGACATGTCAGAGATTTCATAGCATTCGGCAGTTACAGCAAACAGCATGTAGAAATTAGAGGGAGGCCATCTCAACTCTCTTGACAGTTATAGCAGTTCTTGCTTACTTGCTTCACGTCAATTTTTTCTTACACCCAAATCAACATCTTAATCCTGGCTGCCCTGCTGGATGTACTCAGTCTTGCTGCAGTATTTGAAGCTGCATAATGTCACTCTGAACCCTAGGGCTGACAAGCTAACTCACAGAATCTGGCAGCAGTTGGCAATTTGGAAAGCTGTGCCTAGCTGCTTGTGCAGGAGGAGAAAGACTGGCATCGAATAGCCTGTAAGTCCACGGTTCCCATATACACCTTTAAGGGTGGAAGACCCAGGTGCAGATATGGTCCCCAAAGCGTGAGAGCGCCATTACAGACCCCAGCAATAACCCAAGCGAGTTCTTAAGCCATTGGGTGCGAGTCAGTGTTAGAAGAGGATACGAATTCGGTCCCAGTGACGTAACGACATCGCACCAATCCAGAAGGCAGCCTTACCTCCTCTCCTGGGGAAAAGTTGTCATGGCACAACGGGCAATGGTTTGCCACACTTTCTGGTTTAGCGGCTGAAATGATTAGAAAAATAATGTAAGAATTGCAAAGACAGGCTAATTTCAAATACCAGAGGAGAACTTGCACAACAAAGAGCATAAAACTACACCGTGGCTAAACCAGCTCCTACCTCGTTATCGTTAACTGCTCTCAAAGAAGTCCCATGTTTAATCATCTACATTGAAACAAGATCAAAAGGAACGATAGGGCTTAATCCGCAGGCTTTCTTGTTCTCCTCGCTCATCCTCCCCACATACATTCACGGAAGCAAAGCACTTCAAGCACTGGGAAACTCAGGCTTTCCAAAAGCGTTCCCTCCTGAGGATTTACTTAGATTTCTAAATCCACAGTGCCATACCTAAATAGAAGTGGTCCGACTTGCCAAAGATACAGAGTATTTGAAAGTCTGGCTGACTTGACCTTTGAAGTTCAACCTTCCTGTTTGAAACTACTCACAATTGCAAGTCTTGTTCTTAACATGTTTGGGCAATTCATCTTTTGGAAGGGCCTCGCCGCATCGTTGGCATTTCCCAAAGCTGTCCTTTTTATCACAGTCCGTCAGCAAGTGCTCTGTCAGGCTTGCTATTTCCACCACCTGCAACAGAGCAAGAGGCACCCAAGAAGATTTGTACTGTACTGAGTACATAAGGATAGTATTAAAAAATCCTGCTTATGTCATTTTTGGAAGTTAAATCTCACTTTTCAAAATGACAATTTCATTTTCCCTTTTTTTTCCCAGTTATTAATACCATTTATAATACTGCTCTTTTCGAAAAGCACTACCCGAGGTGTCACAGCTGTGGTCAGAATTCATCTACCTTAGCATTAAATATCTTATAGCACCCTAAAACCAGAATAACAACAGTTAATGTCTTGTAGTAGCTTTACAAAGTTTGCACCTAACCTGTTTGCAGTGCTCACATCTGGTTAACATAGGGCAGTGTTTCCAGTAATGGAGATCCAATCCTTCCTCTGTGAAGGATTCATCCCTTTCACCACAAAAAATACATAAGCTAGGAAAAAAAATACAAACATCAGTAACATCACAGAGTGAAAGGGACAAACCTGCTGCTTCTGTGAGGAACTATTCTGAAAAATAGCGAACATCTTGGTACAGCTTATTCTCCCATATAGTGCTGTCCTTAGGATAGGGCATGAACAGGTACCATTATATAATTTATGGTAAATACAACTATAAAGCATTTGTTCATGTAGAAAGACGTAATTCCACAAAAGCACTGAGAACAGCTCACTGAAACTGGCTTCGTGGCTCCAGAAGTTTCTAATGCTTTCTCTAGGCCTTAATCCCACCATGCCCATGAAAGCTACAATATACTTCCTCCTTATTTTATTCTGGCAGTTGGACACTAAACTGTGGCAATTTCTTATCCCACAAGCGCCTACTCAGAAAACAACTTCAAGGTCACACTATCCAAGAACTTAAAAAAAAAAAAAAAAAAAAAAAAAATCAACATCTAGGATTGCCTGGTGATAAGTCCAAATCTGTCAGAAGAGATTTTCTTTTTCATTGTTTCAGCGTTGAAGACATTAGCTTTGACCTACTGGAAAAATGTTATTAACGTTATTAGCTTGCAGGTTATACTAAGTGGTATAAGGTGCTTAGAAGCTGCTCATCTAACTTACTTATCCAAGTAATTTGTAACAGAGGAATGATCATCTGGCATCTCTGCTGCAGGCTGTGGGCTTTTGTTTACCTGGTAACCTGTAAAAAGAGAACTATTAAAAACAAGATCACACTTTGGTCAGTTTTTGTGCAGGCCTAGAAATATGCTTCTCTGGATTTTAACAGCAAAAAAACCCAACAGAAGCCTACCGCTGCCATATTGGTAAAATGCACTGAAAGACAATGTACCTGTAGGCAGTTGGGGAACTATTGCTTTAGTGATCTACTAACAGTAAAATATTTTAGTGATTATTTTTACATGTCAGATGGTCTACCTCAGGTTGGGGAGAAATCTAAAGTGGTTTCAAGCCAAACCATACTAATTCCTTATTAGAAATTAACTGGTTAGCTGATGGTAAAATTTCTTTCGTGAACTTAAAGATTTCCTCTATGGCAGGTTGAGACTCAGCCAGTCTGAAGCACTCAGGCATGTTTTTAACAGAGATAATTCAATAATCCATTAAGCATCCACAGTGTTTCAAAGACATATGGAAATATCTCTACATTTCTTAATGCTACTTGAAACTACCTACCTTGATTCTTTGGCTTCTGAAAATCAGATTCTTTCTCCTATTGAACAAAGAAATTTAAGTCAGATATTTACTTGATGACAGTGATGCTTGCCAGGGAGAAAGAGAACAGATTATATCCTGATTTTTCTCTGGAATGAAAAGCTTAGAAGCAGAGCCAATGCATTACAATGTCTGTGCCTCTGGTCCTACAGCAAATCTCTCGGGTATTGAGGCAGCAGTCTTCTGAGGGTGGAAAACCAGTCCTACTCCCTGGCACTGGAGTAGCTGGCTACCTTTGTAAGGTTCAGACATAAAACTTAATGTATGTGCAGTACAGCATGCTTCTGGAGGGCCTTTACACACTCAGAACAATTCCTGTATTCTAGCTGGTAAAGAAACACTTGGACTTCTAGAAACACTCAAATTTACCATACGATAGACAAAATTGTTATAAAAAAGAAAGAACCCAAATTTTATGCTACGTTAGGAAAAACAAGCCCCCGCATTTTAAACTGGACTGCTGAGGATGAAAGTCAGTGTATGTCGTGGAGGGCCTTTTTTTCTTTTTTTTTTTTAAGTTTATAATGAGACAGTTAATTATCCAAGCCTGTGATATCTGCAGGAAAAAGGATTAAAAAAAAAAAAAAAAAAAAAAATCAAACCAAAACCACCCTAACCTTTCCAGCTTGAACTTCTGCTTGTATCTCCTTTAGAGCTGCCAGCTGACCTTGCAGAACTTTTATTTCTTCCTTCTTCTGTTTCTCTGCTTGTTCTGTTACTGCCTTTCTCTGTGCCTGTCAAGAAATACTCTTTCAATGACAAAAGTTTTTTAGCCATCTGTCATATAGAAGAGATTACAAAACACATCAGCATAGAACAAATTGTCAATGCAGCACCAGAAACATCCTGCTCGGGTAAATGCTGGGTCTGTTTCAGTAACACCTCCCTCCCCCCAGATTCCTCCATGCTAACCTGAAAGAAGCACACAGCGTTTCCCCTGCACTGTTTCCAAGGCCAGCCATGCATAAAATAGTATATGTATATTTTCTGAAATGGTTGGGTATTATTTCAGCAGTACTACCTCTATTCTTTGTAGGCTTTATTCGCAAGAGTGAGTATAGGTAACAAACCAAACACCACCTTTTCACACTGAGTGATGTTAACAGCACACCTTAAGATACTCTGCTATGTGTGCCATTCAGTGTCTAACACAGCCATGAAATCAGCGCATTGCTCGGTTCAATGCAATGTTCAAAGTAGCTACGTATGCTCTACAGTCTTATTACATACCCTAACTTCAGCTTCAGAAGGTTCACCATCTATTTTAGTAAATCCGTCAAAGAGCGTTTTATAGAGAACAGTCTTGCGAACATTCGCGTTATCTGGAGGAAGATATTCCAGTATAGCAGCCTTGTGCTTCCTGTACATGTCAAAGATAATCCGCAACGCTGTATCACGAACTTCATAAACTCTGTGTTCCAAAGCTCCTGTTGCAAACTGAAAAGAAAAAAACAAAAAAAAGCCTTTCTTTTCCCACATGTTTTTTTAAGGCCTTGTTTATCTATCTAAGACAATTATTTCCCTGCAGTGGAAGAAATCTTCACACAGGCAGGTTTTTCCAAACACTTTTTTCCTGTATTGGCATCTTGCTTCCTCACCAGGTTGTGTCTCGTCACCTCCAAGAGGCTCACAAATTCTCTTTAGTAATTCAGCAAGCACTCCAAAACAGACAGACAAGCCCTAATAAAACAGCAATGAAAAAAGCTTCACACGCTGCAAACTCAGACTCCTACCTTCATGACGTTGCTGATGGTAAACCCAGAGTTTTCAGTTCCCATGTCTTTCAAGAGGCATTCTACTAATTCCGCTTGACTCATTGCCAGATGTGTTGGGGAGTTTGGTTTTAATGGTTGAACCAAATGAACTGGAACAATCTGAAGAGGTTTAACTTCACTACACAGTGCCATTTCCTATAAACGTACAGAGAGTCAGTGTGCGTGTAGGAATGCTAAATGAGGAAAATGAACTGTCTTTGCAAACTAGAGTTATTCTAAGTTACTTATAACACATTAAGTAAAATGAAATCAGCATTCCCCAAGAAGTAGCTGCTTATTTATTACTTTATCAGCCTGAAGTTGCTTGCAAAGGCTTTAAAGAGAAGATTATACAGACATTTGGTCTTGCTTTTGGCATCAGAGAGAAAGCTACTGAGGAACTGATGAACTCTTAGACATGCTTAGGTGGGTTATAGAACTGGACTGGAAGAAAAATTTGAAGAACTCCATCTTACACTGAACTACCTGAGGAGGAGACAGATGAGAAGTGTCACAAAGGATACAAAGTCTTGACGTTGCATCAAGATGGATTTCAAGAGCGCTTCAGAAGACATATGCCAGCTTATAATTTCTCATTCTATTTTGCAAAGAACCTGAAGGGCTAAATTCTGCTGTTATTCAAAGCTCATCGCTTATTTCTTTGCTGGTAGCAGAACGTTTAATAACCCGAAGCACCCCTCCTCCCAGTTCCTGTCAGCCGACAGACACTCAAGCAGATGATGGTGTCCTGCAGCCCCTCTTCCTGAGGGCCAGACGCAGTTGTCTGGTCTGGTTTGGACATATCGATTTCCAGAAATATGTGGCACCTTCCCTAGAGAACTGCTTTGTCAGGCAGCGTGTCACCTATTAGCAGCGATACAAAATAAACCCATTTTCAGTCTCTCCAGGCAATGTCCTGGTTACAAATGTATTTTTGTAGACATTTTCTCATTCAATTACAAAATCTATTATAAATGAGCCAAGCAGTAGTAATAAAGCAACCCGTCACCTTTGGGGTTCCAGGGTGACACCAGACCACTTCACACAGTAACACTGTTAAAATCTTAGTTACGTCTACAGCAGAAGAAAAGTCTTGTCCCCCGAGTGTGGATCCAAGCAAGGATAAGTAACCCAGAGCCAGTGACTCACTCCACTCCATGGGAGTGAACTAACACATTTTCACACAGAACTACTGTTCTTTCTTCTAAATTCTACTGGAAAAGAGAGCCTGTAATCCTCTGGCAGCTATTCACAGCTGCTCCTTGCTAACACCGAGCAAGGAATAGACTGTGTCTTTTAAATGGGCACCTTTTTTATGCTTTTGCTAAGTTGACTGTCAAAACCACAATCAAATCGCAGCAGAGCCCGAGGAGTATGTTGTACCTTCTTGCTCTCACCTCTGTAGATCACTTGCAACTAAGAAGAATGGAAGAGTTATGCCCTTCTCGCATCTGCAGCAGGAGCTATCTCCCCACACCGTCCCCCCCAACAAAGATGGCAACACATGGCTAGAAAAAACACCGCAAAGACACTGAGCTGGTGCTACCACTTTGCCTTCCACACAAGGCGTAATCCTTTACAGCAGCAAACTCTGGACCTGAAGCCAAGACTGATCAGGTGTTACCCACCTGTAAGCTCTCTGACATTCTTAATGCAAATCAAACTGTAATTTCAAGAAAAACACCTACCTGAATAAAGTTAGAAGCCACGAGGCGAAGTCGGGATGAAGAGTCTCCTGTTCTAGAAAGCAAATTTGGAAGCGTTTTTTCCACACAATGAGAAGTTTCTGTTTTTCCTAGCTTATGTTTTGGTATATATTGGGTAATGATCATTTTTAAAAGTTTCAGGGAAGCTTGAAAAACCTAAGTTAAAAAGAGAAAGGAAACACTGAACAGAAACACCACACAGATCCCTGCTTTCAGACAATATTGTCAGATCTTTTCTGCAGTTCTACAGAACAGCAGCAACAGGAATCTAGAATTACAGTAACACTCTTAATGGAAGCTACTTCAGAGACCTCTCCTCCTGAAAACATGTTGCTAGAATTTGTGTTATAAAGAACAACACAGCTCTTCAGCTTTTCTTTTCTTCTTGTTTAAGGCTTATTCAAAGCCTAAGTCTCCTTAGACTAACTGTAGTCCCTCAAGTCGGAAACTAGAACTTACTTCACTGCTGTAATTCAACCTTACAAAAAACCCCCAGAAACCCAAAAGGCTCAACCACGCTACGCATTTACTGCATCAGTTGTTTCTCAAGCTCATTACTCAGGCCAGGGCACTGTTTTCCATGCTGCTGAATGCTAGACAGTGTCCAGTCCTTGGTCCTGACTAAAAGCTGACATTTCAGTTGGTTTGGGGTTTTTTTTGGTTTGGGTTGGGTTTTGAGTTCTTGGGGTTTTTTTAACTTACTCAAAAGTAGTTTTACAAACGACTTGCTTGCTTTCTTTAAAGTGTGTTAACCGCACGGTTCTACAATTTTTGCTGTTAGTTCTTCACTGAAGCATTTCTTATCAAACATACTACAACTTACTGAAGACACTATGTCTTTGATGGCTCTTCTTACAAGGAAAACAGCAGCCCTCAGCATGTTCCTTAAATCATCCTTTGGAGTGTATACCGACACCTCCATCAGCTTCTTATACACAGCCAGCAATGCATCTTCTCGATACGACCAAGTTTTGGAATATGCTCCTGAAACCTGAACACAGAACGAGTTTATCTCTTAAAAGGTCAATACTGATATTTCAATATTTATTATTCAACATTTATATAACAGAAACAGCCTCAAAAGAACATATGAACTTCAGCATGAAATCCCCAGGTGTCTCCTACGGAAATCTGGCTTTTATTAAAAGCACATATTTTTGAAAAAAGATGAGTAAAATGGATTAACAGGTGAGGCTCAAGGAACCATTTCAGGCACAGTAATGGTTTCTCTGCCTACAAAAGACAGTGGCATATTATGGGTATTCTGGTAGGGCCTGTACCCTGTACCCAGACACTGTCTGCTTAATAGCTCATCAAGCTATGGCATCCTGTAAACGCTGAAAACAGGCACCCATATATCCAAGGTCAAATTTTAATCTCAGATTTTTATGTAACAGCTCTGAACATGTAAAAATCGTATCAGAAGATCTTTGTTGACAGAGCGCATATCAAATCAACTCAACAAGGATCACAATAATCTACGTGTTCATTTTGTTGTGCTTTACCAAAGCTTCTCCAAAAACTTCAATAGCAGGGCTGGCCTCCCTCAGTGCCTTCTCAGCCAATGGTTCTGGTTCCCCGGTAATGCCACTTCTTGGAGTGTCACTGATGGCCTCTTCAGTCACCTCCGGCTCAAAGTACGCAATTGCTTCATCAGTCTGTTTACAGATAGCTGGAAGGGGTCTCTCATCATAAGGTAAAAATTCAACCTAACAAAGAAGATAAAATTTGCTTTTCTAGAAATTACTTCAATATGAAGTTGTTTCATCACTAATTGGATTCACCTCAATGTACCAAAGCAGTATCACTTTACAATTAAGTACAGATGTTGAAGTTCCCATAATAACGTCATGAAGAAACAGAATCAATGCCTGTGGACAAAACTTATTTCTTGTCTATAGAATACAAATAAAACACACAAAAAATGCCTTCTGTGGAAGCGCACAGATCTACAGAAGAAATCACCTGTTGATAGGAAGCCAGCAAGTCATGAAGCTTGATTTGTTACATTATTTTATGTCAACATCATCTTAAGAGAGAATACTACTGCTACCAGAGTCAACACAAGTCTTCCTCAGCTTTGCCAGAAATGGGAGTGGCAAAGCCTAAACACCAAGATAACTAGATGCTATGGTTTTCTTCCTCTCTTTAGACATGACACCAAGACTCCTACCCTACAACCACATTTCAACAAATTCCTTTGCTGCTGTAGATTCATCCAACATGATCTCCAAGAAGGAGATTTATTAAGCCGTTAATGGAGCAAGCAGAATTCAGCTTCCACTCTCCCAGCTGTGTGACCCCTGAACTAGTCATTTAATGTCTATTTGCTTCCATTCATCTGTTCATAAATCAGGTATAATCCCCTTTTGCCTCAACCTCAGTGAACACTTGTAAGAGCTTCCAAGGAAACTCAGGGAAGAGAAAGACTGATGCCAATTGTCGGATGGGCACATCTCAGTAACACAGTCAATTGCAGATACTATATAAGCCACGAGAATAACCACAAAAGACCTTGTTATTTCGGAAGGTTGACTACAAGATCATTTGCTGTGATAAATTTCTGCAGTAACAGATGTACACTACTCACACTTTCTTTGGGAAACTCTTCCCGGGAGGTTGTGGGACGAGTCACAGGAGGAGGAGGGGACTGATGGCAAACAACGGGCTGAGTAGAAGTGGGCTCTGGTGACTTCTCTTCCAGCAAAGGCTCCGCTTTCTCTGGCTCTTCTTTTTGTAGTTCTGTGTGCTCACAGGATGAATTTGTAGCTTGTGTGTGCTGAGGATTGTTAGTATAAATCATAGGCTCCAAAGGCAAGTCAGGCAGTTTTCGAATCTGAGAAAGGGAAGGAGATTTTGTAAAGCAAGGCTAACAATGCACTAAAATCAGAGTTAATATAGCTGCAACTCTTGACAGTCGACAAGATTCTGCTGCTTTCAAGTAAGTATCAGACCTGCCTCACAGACGTGTAATCATTCCCACTGGATGCAGCTTTGTGAAACAATCGTTAAACAATTCTGCGTGGATGTGTGTGTGAGAGGTTATAGAGCTTCCCATTCCGAGAACAATATAAAACTGTATTTTATCGCATTAATTTTGCACGGTTAGCCATGATGCCAGCACAAGCTGTTATACCCCTTCAAAATACAATAAAGTACCTTCTGAATCTGCATCAGATAGCCCTGAAATTATGCAAAACATTCAGGATTCTAATGTCATTTGCTTCAGACCTTAACAGTTTAATGTAATGTAATTTATGGAGAACTAAGCATGTTCATAAAATACCACGTGCAAGTCTTTGGTTAGGGAAATCCACCACCCAAATGGAAAACTTAAGATACATACGTAATTGTCATAAAATACCTGCGCAATAACTCTTCCCTGAATTTATTTTGGTTGCTCTGCCATTTCCAACACCCACATGACAAAGCCTCCTGAGTTAGGAATAACAGTACCCACCATCAGCTCTGCATCCAGAAGGTTGTGGAGCTCCAGTTGCTGATACACCTTCAGGCGGTACGCCTCCATTTGCTGTTTCTTCTTTTTAGCAAGATCATAATCCTCTTTCTCTACAGCATAGCGCTTCTCTACCTCATACCGTCCCAGCCGTTCCCCTACCTAGAAGATGGCGTAACAAGCTAGCTTGAAATCACATTACCGTACATACGTATGTGTCTCTGTATTCCCAGCCAAGTTATTAAATCAAGCTATCTGATTTTAAAATCACTATTTTGAAAATACACTGGAAATCTTTACGATTCTGCATGGATGCCAGGGTCCCTGACAGACCACTGAAACGCTGTTCAGCTTAAGAGATACAGAGTCTTCCAACAATACCTTTTGCAAGTCTGCAATAGCTTGTTTGAGTTTCTTGGCGTAATCGTAGCGTTCGTGATGGACAGCTTCACGCTTCTTCTCATCCAATCTGCGTATTATCTGAGCAACTTCTGGATCCTGGTACATGTCAAAAGCCAAATCATCCAGAGGTGAAATGGAGTCAGGCTTCCTGAAGATATAAAATGAATAAAACAGACTTTCAGCTCATCCAAAACAGAGCAGGCTGAGCATACGTCTCCTCTTTTCGCTAGCAGGGAACTAACAAAATACAGAGACTGGGACTGAGCAGGCGTTTTGCCAGAGTATATGGAGAAGAACTTCCTTACCCAAGGTAAGTTCCATCTAAGGCAGGATCATCTGATTTAATTCCTAAGTAGTGGTCTATCAGCTTCTCTCTCGAAGGCTTTGCAGGGGGGAAAAAAAAAACCAAACCAAACCTTAATGCATATTCATCAACATCAAGTGTGCATTCAGGACAGAAATTCTGACTTGCCACAATCGATGTAAACTATGCGACCTATAATACTTAAGTTTTGGGGCATATTGAAACGAGAATTTGGAGAGGTTGAAAATGCAAACGTTCCAATTGATTGTTTTATTTTTTGTATCCATAAATTAGGCTCAATCTTGAGAGCTTTCTTGCTTCGAGATAACATTAAAAAAAGAAATAATAAATCAATACATGACAGCTCTGCTACAGCACAAAACTAGCAGAAGAAAGATGTGTTCCGTGACCCCAAGAAGCCTGTAACTGAACACACATAGCAACAGTGAAAGAGACAGGGATGCTTTGTACTTACAATATTATTGCTATCATTACTGTAGTCTGCTGGATCTCCAATAATGTTTATAGCTACTAGGGCAACCTGGAAGAGAGTTAAACAAAATGTAAATGCATAAGGTCATTACTTTTTCTGTATCTTATGAAAACTGAAACAAAAAAATTGGAAGCAAAAAAAACCAGGACCCATGGTCTCCAGGGTGGTATGGAAGCAAAGAAAAGCATTAAGTGCTAAATATACTTCCTGCTTCATTAAAAATTTATTACCAAATCTACAGACCACATTGCACAGCCATCAGTTGTTCCCTTTTCTGGTCTGGGATGGAAGTGAAAAGAGTCACTGCAGAACCGAGGCAGATATTTGCTTTTTCTGTATCGGGACGGCTGTACAACACCTCCACTTAATGCCACATCAGATCCCAAAGACAAAGAGTGGCTTTGTAGCGACCACAAAGCTGTTCTCGGAGGAAGTACTTTGCCTTCAGCACAGAGCCTGCTGTGCAGTCTAAAACTCAGAACGAAAAGCAGTAATAATGGAACGTGCATTTGGGTCATCTGTTCTGGGTAAGTTGCCTGCACTCAGTCACGATTCCAAGTCACTCATAACCTCGTATTTGTATTTTCTGTGTTAAAAGAAACCAAAAATAAACCCAGGAGCTTTCAACCAGCATTTTTGGCTTCTACAAGTCATGGGAGCAGATTTCTACACCTGCTCTGTACTACTGAAACTTCACCTAGCTTACCAGGTAAGGACTCATAACCCAACTTACCTGCCCGTACAAGTTGTATTTATTGACATAATTTTTATGGAAAATCAGCTTCAGGTACTGGCCAACTGCATCCATATACACAGATTTTAACTCTCGCGCTTTGAAATCAGTCTTTTCATTGTCCGAGAGAGGGACGTAACTGAGAAGGAAAATGTAACAAGTAAGCAGAGGAAACGTACAAATACACAACTGTGGTTTTGCTCCTCAGGTTAGCACTTTGATAAGGTTTAAAACTCCCTCGTAACTGAAACGACGTGTGCTGTCATCTGACAAGAGCGTTCATCTGCATCCTGCCTCTTACACCTACACCTTCAGCTTTGTTACAGACCTAAGCGAGTGCGGAATCTCTTTGCTGCTCTGCAGCACAGTGTTTCACTGTGGCATGCACAGCATAATGAATGTTATTTCCTCCTGAGGCCTTTCTGATTAAGGTAATAAAACCATTTAGAGCTTTTCGACTTACCCTAGTCTGTGAAACCTCTCTGACTGATAAGGAGCAAAGTATTCAGGCAAGCTTTCACTGATGTAGAACTCAATTTTGCTTGAAATCATGTACTGGTGAGCAAGCAGCTGCAGTTTTCGTATTCGACATCTCTCCACCAACTGCAGCACGATTTCCTGTGGATACTGACAGAGTCTGAAAACATACACAATTTCTGAATCATCTCTTTAAAGATGACTTCACTTCAACTAGAGTAACATTTAATTATGAAACTTTCCAAAGTTATTATAGGTTAATTCAGCATTACAAATACTGTGAAAAGAAACCAGAGAGTAGAGCAGAAACACGCTACACTTTATCGCATGCATGTGTAGGCTAACGTGCCCCATAGAGGATGTGCTGAGAAGACCGGGCTTTTAACACTAAGCCAAAGTAGCTGCAAACTCCAAGACTGACAAGGACAAAACCAGTTCCCTCTTTTTCTTTTGAAGGACTCTATTTAATGCAAGGCAATGCCTTTAGGTGGTAACCAAGGCACTTCTTTCCCCAGGGTAAGGATTCCGTGGGATTAAAGCAACTTTTTTGGTTTCATAATCAGTTTGGTCTAGGATGCTGTAAGCTGCTCTGACCACGCATGGTACATCTCCCAGTCATTTTAAACTCTGTGCTTCAGAACTGCGCGCATTCCTCCCACTCGCAGTACCTGGGTGATCGCCATCCATTCACTGTCGGCGCATGAACCATCAGCTCCTTTGCGCTGAAGCCGTCTTCGTGTCCCGATGAACTAATAACTATAAAACCGATCTTGTGTGGCATCCTGCAGAAGCGAGCGAGTCAAAGCAATGATGTTTCCAGCCTAAGCTAAGCCCTGGAAGGACAATAAAAGGACACTGAAATGCTACAGTCAAAGAATTAAATCCTGCCATCCATCAAGTCAGTCGATGATGACTGCAAATCTAAATTTTCTTTTAATTAATATTGGCACCATAAACCGCACCATGTTCTTATGCCGAGTGTTTTACTAGTACTTAGTGGAACGAGGGTTTAGCTAACTCATGTAGCACTTTGCCCATAAGCCCAATTAAATCTGTTAATCCAAGACAGAGTTTCAAACTATTTGAGTTCCACAACGCGCACAGGAGCGACTGGTACCGTCCTCTGCGCACCTGAGCCGAAGGAATCATAGAATCATAGAATGTTTAGGGTTGGAAGGGACCCCTAGAGGTCATCTAGTCCAACCCCCCTGCAGGAGCAGGGACACCGCTAACGAGATCAGGCTGCTCAGAGCCCCATCCAACCTGGCCTGGAATGTTCCCAGGGATGGGGCCTCCACCCCCTCTCTGGACAAGGAAAACAACAGTTGAGAAGAGGGAGCCTTTAGCCAAAAGCTTCCCAGCACCTTCCCACAGCTACGCACCCACCTGGGCGGCTGAGAGGGACGGCAGCGGGA